ATATTAACACCTAAAATTGACTTATTAGCACCTAAAATGTACATATTAGCACCTAAATTTTACATATTACATAAAATGTACATATTACCACCTAAAATGGACAAAAGTTTACCTTTTGAAAAGGTACAGCCCCAGTGACAGCTTTTGTACCTTTTTTTTTTGAGAGTGTAATGCAAGTCTGATGTATCAAAATTCAGTTCACGCTTATTTGAATTGACCTAACGTTTAACAAACGTAAGGTCAATTTAAATAACTATTAACCTGTGTGTTTATGACTCCAATAGTAATGGCATTCAGTCACAATGCAATGGAGATGTGCAAAGAGCCCGTTAGTGATCAATGGAGGCGTTCAAAACTACATTTGACACATTGGCCAGCCTGTGGTCATGAGAATCTACTCAGGACTTCAGGGAGAACATTAAAGCATCAAACATGTATGATATGACCCCTGTTTTGCCACTGTGAGCATATGAGCATTTACATTAGGAGATTATTACAGCTTTAGATGTTTAGATGTGCTAATTGTTTCTACTCCAGAGGCATTAAGTGTGTTATTAAGTGTTTGGTAGCTACTAGTGCAACATTCAGCCGTTAAAAAAAAAGGGTTGTTCAGGAACTAGATGTGTTAACCTGTAGGACATCAGAGGAGTTGAACGTTCAGGGATTAATTAATTAAAGTGTTCAGGGTTACGGATTTAGCGCAGTGGAAGTCTTATCACATCATGTAGGCAATAAAACATAAATGAAATCTCCTAAACAGGGCTCTGGGAAAAGCTTTTAGAGTTTAAGAGTTTTCATGGAGATTAACGGCATGCGTTTGATGTGTAAATGTTAAGACGTGTTGCCTTCACAACAGATGATTGATGCGAGCGGTGTTAGGCAAGGTTATACTACTTAACACAAAGCCTGTCAGTCACATTGGCGTATCAGTCTGCTGTTCATCATGACTGGCAGCTGTTTCTGTCGGACGTCTAAGTGGATCTGACCGATCCTTGGCACTGCTCTCCAAAACGCCAGACTCTGTTTGGACGTCAAAGCAGCTGCTGAAACACTGCCAGAGATATTACCTTTCTGCTCACGGGGCGGCTGGAAATCTGCTGCGATTACACATGGGAATAACGCTTCTACCAGAGAAATTAAAACACAACACGGCAGCTGTAACACAGTCTATTAGCTCTGACAGGACCAATGGGATTTGTCTGACCTGACCATGAACATATGCACAGCAGGGTTACTAGAGATAACTACAACCAAACCAGTCACTTGAAATAAAATACAGTTGATCTGAAACAGATTCAAATTAATTATAATAATAATAATAATAATAACTTTTGAAATTGCTTTAGGTCTCCTACAATAAGTTTGCATGCATCCAAGGTCAAAAAACACTTTTGATTTTCTCTTCATATACATCGCAGCTTCAGCTTTTTTCTTACCGTGTCTGAAACAGTTCGATAAGAGTTTAGTCTCTCTAAACCCCTACTTTCTGAGAACCTACTTTCTGATTGGTCAGATGACCCAGTCTGTTGTGATTGGTCTACTCTGCTCTGATTGGTCAGATGGCCCAACCTGTTGTGATTGGTCAGATGACCCAGTCTGTTGTGATTGGACGACTGTTCTGATTGGTCAGATGACCCAGTCTGTTGTGATTGGTCTACTCTGCTCTGATTGGTCAGATGGTTCAGTCTGTTGTGATTGGTCTACTCTGCTCTGATTGGTCAGATGACTCAGTCGGTTGTGATTGGTCTACTCTGCTCTGATTGGTCAGATGGCCCAGTCTGTTGTGATTGGTCTACTCTGTTCTGATTGGTCAGATGGCTCAGTCTTTGATTGGTCTACTCTGCTCTGATTGGTCAGATGGCCCAGTCTGTTGTAATTGGTCTACTCTGCTCTGATTGGTCAGATGGCCCAGTCTGTTGTGATTGGTCTACTCTGCTCTGATTGGTCAGATGACTCAGTCTGTTATGATTGGTCTACTCTGCTCTGATTGGTCAGATGGCCCAGTCTGTTGTGATTGGTCTACTCTGTTCTGATTGGTCAGATGGCCCAGTCTTTGATTGGTCTACTCTGCTCTGATTGGTCAGATGGCTCAGTCTTTGATTGGTCTACTCTGCTCTGATTGGTCAGATGGCCCAGTCTGTTGTGATTGGTCTACTCTGCTCTGATTGGTCAGATGACCCAGTCTGTTGTAATTGGTCTACTCTGCTCTGATTGGTCAGATGGCCCAGTCTTTGATTGGTCTACTCTGCTCTGATTGGTCAGATGGCTCAGTCTTTGATTGGTCTACTCTGCTCTGATTGGTCAGATGGCCCAGTCTGTTGTGATTGGTCTACTCTGCTCTGATTGGTCAGATGACTCAGTCTGTTATGATTGGTCTACTCTGCTCTGATTGGTCAGATGGCCCAGTCTGTTGTGATTGGTCTACTCTGTTCTGATTGGTCAGATGGCCCAGTCTTTGATTGGTCTACTCTGCTCTGATTGGTCAGATGGCTCAGTCTTTGATTGGTCTACTCTGCTCTGATTGGTCAGATGGCCCAGTCTGTTGTGATTGGTCTACTCTGCTCTGATTGGTCAGATGGCCCAGTCTGTTGTAATTGGTCTACTCTGCTCTGATTGGTCAGATGGCCCAGTCTTTGATTGGTCTACTCTGCTCTGATTGGTCAGATGGCTCAGTCTTTGATTGGTCTACTCTGCTCTGATTGGTCAGATGGCCCAGTCTGTTGTGATTGGTCTACTCTGCTCTGATTGGTCAGATGACTCAGTCTGTTATGATTGGTCTACTCTGCTCTGATTGGTCAGATGGCCCAGTCTGTTGTGATTGGTCTACTCTGTTCTGATTGGTCAGATGGCCCAGTCTTTGATTGGTCTACTCTGCTCTGATTGGTCAGATGGCTCAGTCTTTGATTGGTCTACTCTGCTCTGATTGGTCAGATGGCCCAGTCTGTTGTGATTGGTCTACTCTGCTCTGATTGGTCAGATAACCCAGTCTGTTGTGATTGGTCTACTCTGCTCTGATTGGTCAGATGACCCAGTCTGTTGTGATTGGTCTACTCTGCTCTGATTGGTCAGATGGTTCAGTCTGTTGTGATTGGTCTACTCTGCTCTGATTGGTCAGATGGTTCAGTCTCAAACTTTTACATTCACAAACAGCCATATTACACACTGCATGAATGGAAATATCCAAAACAGTAGGGGGGACTTATTGAAAAATAAAATGTATGCATAAACTTGCAAAAATCAAAATTCCATTCAGTGTTTCCAAAATAACAGTTTGCAGCACAAACGATACTTCAGGGTTTGTTCCAATAACTAACTCGTGAGCAATAACAGCAATACTTGCTAGTAAACAGCACTGATAATGTTTGTTGAAAGTTCACAGTATAATTAAAGCTGTAATTAGTGCAGGTCATCTGAATAATCCCAGGGTTTGAACAAAGAGGGATTGAAGCTGGTGTAGAGCCAAACGTTTTTCCAGAATTATATGGCACAGTGGTTAAAAGGATCACCATGGTAACAGCGAGGAGAAAATCCGCAACAACGGTCATTAATAACCTAGAGATACTGTTCTGGGAAAACGGCTAGAAATGAACCAACACTAAACTTGCTCCTGCTGGTACGGGAGGTGAAATGAATCAAAAAGTTAATTTACGTGAAGCTCAGGGGAGCACACTAAAGCAGAACCGCTGCACATAAATGCCGTTTACCCAACAAACACCTGCATTAAACTATAGAGATAAATCACGACATATATGGCAAAACACCCCCATATACAGACACAAAAACACACAACACAACATTCAGTTGAAGTCTTTCCACAAACAGATATTCTAGACTGACCACTGCAAAAAACAAAAAACAAATCTTAAATATAGCAAAAATGTCTTAAAATCGAGCAAAACAATCTTGTTAATTCATAATAAAAATTACCAAAACTAGCATAAATTTATATTACTAGTCTAAAAACTAGGGGGAAAACGCTTAGAATTATAATACCCTTCAAAAGATTGTTCAAAAGAATATTGAACAAAAGAAGATCAAAAGTGACTGTGTTTATAATGTTACAAAAGATTTCTATTTTAAATAAACGCTGCTCTTTTGAATTTGAATTATATATATATATATATATATATATATATACACTGAAAAAAATAATATGCTTTATCTAATCAATAAAATTGTGGCAACATATTACAAGCAATATTATTAATTAAATTGTACAAATTAGAATTAATTAGAATATTAATTTGATTAACTATTACTCAATTCTAATTTGTTCAATTTAATAAATAATATTGCTTGTAATATGTTGCCACAATTTTATTGATTAGATAAAGCATATTCATTTTTACAGTGTATATATATATATATATATATATATATATATATATATATATAAAATGTATCACAGTTTCCACAAAAATGTGAAGCAAAACAACACATCAAAGCATCAAATTAGTATATTAAAATGATTTCTGAAGGATCATGTGACACTGAACTCTGGAGGAATGATGCTGGAAATTCAATTACATTTTCAAATAAAATAAAATAGAAAATGTCTATTTTAAAATGTAATACTTTCCCCACAATTTTACTGTTAAACTGTATTTTTGAATAGTAATGAATAAAACATAATGTGAAACAAATTCTTTTGACATTTGCATTAAATCTTGAATTTGCATTTTTTTTTCTTAAAAAAAAGAATATGACTTAAGACGTTCTACGCTTGCATTTGTAAATATTCACTAAAGTTGCTTAATATTCAATATTCAATGTTTCTAAACTTAATTTGCATAATGTTGCACGATATTAGGACATTTTTGCTATAAGTTTTCCTTTTCTTGAGAGGGGCGTTTAGTGCAGTTGTTTCATAAGCGTGGCTTACAAAAGATCGCAGAACATCCCAACATCAGTCAGGACTCAGGACACGAAGGTCACGTGAGGAACACGTGTGTGTGTGTGTGTGTTGTGTTTTATGTGCATGAATGAAGCACGATACATACTGTAGGACAGAGGAACGTCCAGCTCGCCCTGCCACGACAGCTGCCCGAGATCGTCCACAGAGTGCTGCGCTGCAGAAACACACACACATTTACATTTATTCATTTAGCTGAAGCTTTTATCCAAAGCGACTTACAATTGCTATATATGTCAGAGGTCGCACGCCTCAAGTGGGGTTAAGTGTCTTGCTCAGGGACACATTGGTGTCTCACAGTGGATTCTCACACCAAAGGCATGTGTCTTATCCACTGTATCCATCACCACCCCATAACACATATACACACACACAAACACTGAGGACTTCACACTCTGTAAACATGAAACACTCCTAAATATCAATATGAACACAATGTGATTAACTGACATCGACCCGTGTTGCTATTGTAAACACTCAAACTGGAAATAACAACATTGATGTTACTTGAAATAAACCTTTAATATCAATAATAATAATAAAAATATATATATATAAACCTTGAAACTAAAACTTAAATGAAAATTAGATTAGGAATGTTCCTTTGGCAACTTTTAAGTTTTCGTTTATTTTAAATGTTGTAAAACTAAGGGTTGGTTTATACAGAAGCGTATTGCATTCACTTGAAAAAAAAAATCTACTCTATTTTTCTGAATTAACGAGTAAATTATCTCAGAATTATGAGATATATTTTTCTTGAAAAAAGTTTTCACTCTGTTTTTTTATTAATTAATTTTTTAAATAATCAAGTCATTAATTCAGAAAAAAGAGCAAAAACCTTTTTCCATGAAAAAAAATCACGTAATTCTGAGGTAATTAACTCGTTCATTCAGAAAAACAGAGCAAATTATTTATTTCCATGAAAAAATATGTCGTAATTCTGAGGTAATTAACTCGTTAATTCAGAAAAACAGAGCAAATTATTTATTTCCATGAAAAATGATCTGGTAACTCTGAGATAATTAACTTTTTAATTCAGAAAAACAGAGCAAATTATTTATTTCCATGATAAAATATCTCGTAATTCTGAGGTAATTAACTCGTTAATTCAGAAAAACAGAGCAAATTATTTATTTCCATGAAAAATGATCTTGTAATTCTGAGGTAATTAACTTTTTAATTCAGAAAAACAGAGCAAATTATTTATTTCCATGATAAAATATCTCGTAATTCTGAGGTAATTAACTCGTTAATTCAGAAAAACAGAGCAAATTATTTATTTCCATGAAAAATGATCTGGTAACTCTGAGATAATTAACTTTTTAATTCAGAAAAACAGAGCAAATTATTTATTTCCATGATAAAATATCTCGTAATTCTGAGGTAATTAACTCGTTAATTCAGAAAAACAGAGCAAATTATTTATTTCCATGAAAAATGATCTCGTAATTCTGAGGTAATTAACTCGTTAATTCAGAAAAACAGCAAATTATTTATTTCCATGAAAAATGATCTCGTAATTCTGAGGTAATTAACTTGTTAATTCAGAAAAACAGAGCAAATTATTTATTTCCATGAAAAATGATCTGGTAATTCTGAGATAATTAACTTTTTAATTCAGAAAAACAGAGCAAATTATTTATTTCCATGAAAAATATATCTCGTAATTCTGAGATAATTAACTCGTTAATTCAGAAAAACAGAGTAGATTTTGTTTCCACAAGTGAATGCAATACGCTTCCGTAGGTTTACAATAAAAAAGGTTTTATGCGTTTTGGCCATTCATTTAAAACATCAAAGTACACGGTTTTGAAAACTATACACTCTAAAAAATGCTGGGTTGTTTTAACCCAACTTTGGGTCAAATATGGACTAACCCAGCCGTTGGGTTAAATTTTTACATTACATTTTTAACCCAACATTTCGGGTTTGTCCATATTTGACCCAACATTGGGTTAAAACGACCCAGCATTTTTTAGAGTGTACCGTTATCGTCTCTCTCTAAACTACAAAAATGCGATTTTGTGATAACGGTGATGTCATAAGTGCTTTCTTTACAAAGTGACATCGTCATACGCCATCTACTGGCCTGACATGAATAATACAGTTTTAATCCTTTTCGAACGAGGATAGTTTGACAACATTATTTTCCATACACTCTAAAAAATGCTGGGTTGTTTTAACCCAACTTTGGGTCAAATATGGACTAACCCAGCCGTTGGGTTAAATTTTTACATTACATTTTTAACCCAACATTTCGGGTTTGTCCATATTTGACCCAAAATTGGGTTAAAACAACCCAGCATTTTTTAGAGTGTAGTATATAGTGTAAATGTACAAAAAAGTACAAAAATTACTAAAACCGAAAGTTTAATATAAATATTATAAAGTGACAAAACTTCAACTAAAATTTAAATATAAACTAAACATATTAGTGACAAATACAAAAAAATAAAAGCTAATTCTAAACATTAATAAATACTACAATAGTGTATAAATCAACAAGATGTATAGTGATAAAGATATGTACTGTATATACACATTTACGTTTGCAATGCAAACTGAACAGTCTAAATAGATATTTGGTGACCAGTTAACATAAATTAAAAAAAAAAAAATCCATCTAAAAAGTAAAGTTGTTTCAAGTACCTATAAAATAAATGACTAAAACTTAAATAAAAAATAAAGCTAAACAAAAATATTCGAATAAACACGAATAAAGTACCGCAATTACTGAAACTTCACATACAAACCAAAAGTATTAAAATATAAGCATATTCAAAATATTATGAATTACTACAAAGCATATAATTAAAATAGCACTGCTAAAGGATTCTTCAAAAAAAATGTTGATGAATATATTCATAGATTTGAATGACATGCGCAGAATTGACGTCCGCGGATGAATCCTTGACAACACGGTGCGTTAGGAGGAGGGTAAAGTGAGATTTGATGTTGACTCTCTCAGTTTGAGTTTGAGAACGAGCGGGCGAGCTTCACTCGTTCGCCTCCGGAGAGAAGCGAGAAACAAATTCAATCAGGTGGAATTAAACAGGGTGAAGATTAAAGCCAATTTGCATGAACCGCAGGGGCTTCTGAGAGAAGTTGAATAAGCAAAAAAAAAAAAAACTTAAGCAACTTATTAAACTCTTTCACCTTGAGGAAGTGTAGGGGTATTAACTTTATCCTCTTTCACTGTCACGTCTGAATCACACGGCCAGAATCTGCCTAGTGACGCACAGTTAACTTTATCAAAAGATGATTCAACCAGCTGACATTCTTCAATCGCCAAGGAAACAATAACAACAATCATCCCGTGTGACGAGTGATGTCATAAGTGAGAACGCCGATGTCACGGATGTAAATGTTCCTGTTGTGTGTATGTAAGCCGGTCGATTATGTTGTTGTAGCGTTAACAATCGCGTGATTATGTGGGCCGCGGTGATTCACGCTGGAGAACAATGACGATTGGCAGATGTTTTCTTTCCTCGGCTGTTCATTAGCTTCAGGAAACGTCATTATTGCTCTGTCAACAGCTCAATCTCCCCACAGGACACACACTCCATAAATGGATAGTACTCCACAAATAGTAGAAGAACTACTACACGTTTGGGGTTGTGTATTATTATTATTATCATTATATATATATATATATATATATATATATATATATATATATTTATTTATTTATTTATTTTTTTTTTTTTGGAGTTGAGTAATTAGAAAGGGAGGATCCGTAATATTAATATGTTCATTTAATCCAATTGTTTTTAAATGACATTAAAAGTGTCGTTAGTGTAAACAGAATCTAAAACTTAAATTTTTCATACTTCAAATAAAGCTGAAATTAAATAGTCTAAATATTAGGTTAAATGAAATAAACCTTAAAATAAAAAAACTTATTTTTTTTAAGCGACTAAGTTTATAAAATAAACATTAACTGAAAAAAAAACTAATATAAAAAAATAAAGTTCTTTTATTTTAACTTATCACTTTAATTTAGTTTAATAGTGATGTACTAAAAAAAACTAAAACAAATTTTACACAAATTCATAAAAAAACATACATAAAAAAGGGGAAAAACTAGTTAATATGTCAAAAACACACCAAAAAAATAAATAAAAAAATTAATATTAATTAATAAATACACCCCAATTTTTTAAATAAATAAATACACTGTAAAAAATATTGTTGGTTTAACTTAAAAAACTAAGTAACCTGGCTGCCTTAAAATTTTGAGTTCATTGAAATGGGAAAATTGAGTTAATACAATGAAGGAGATTAATTTAATCATCAGAAACTCAAAATATTATGTTACCCGAACTATATAAATTATTTAAGTTGATTTGACAAAAGAAAAAATGTTGTGATTACAAATCGTGAAAATATTTTTTTTACAGAGAAAATACACAAAATACAAATAAAAAACTGAAAACTGAAAAAAATAATAATAAAGCTAAATAGGAATTCTGTAAAAAAAAAAATCGAAATAACAAAAGCACACAATTATTTTTAAATAGACTAAAACTGAAACTATACAAAATAAAAGCTAATTCTATATATGAATAAATATTCTCGTAGTGTATAAATAAGAATAACACTGTTGTCAGGAGGATGCAGAACAGATACAGCTGCGTTTAAAGAGTATTGGACACTTGAATTTGATTGTGAATTTCACAGCATTTGATATAGACCATTTCACAAGATGTAAACAACACTGGTCCAGAAACACTTCCTGTTTCAGTTTGTAACTGTTTTCTTTATTTCACATGTAAAGAAAACATCTTAAAGATGTTTGTTTAACTTTTTGATTCAGTTTTAAATGTTCTGTTGGTTGTATTTTATCCCAGCTTTTATGTAGTGTTAAGAAACTGAAACAGGAAGTGCTTCTGGACCAGTGTTGTTTACATCTTGTGAAATGGTCTATAAAACACAAACATGAGCTCAAGCTGAACTTCTTCTGTGTGGTTACCTTTCAGGTGACTCCTGCCGAGGGTCACGAAGCCAGAGGAGATGAAGTTGTGCATGTCTTGACCACTGCGGAAGTTTTCTTTCCCATAATGCCCTGCAAAGACAGACACACAGCATGTGTTATCACATGAAAACAAATCGCAAAAATAAATTTTCCCTAAAAAAAACATATAGAAGTGATTCGACTTCCATTTGAGTAAGTCATCCAGCCTGGGTAAAAAACTGTAAAACTTAACTTACTAAAAAATGATTTATATATATATATATATATATATATATACACATACTGTACTATATATATATATATATATATATATACTGTATACAGTATACCTATATATTTCACATAGTTGGTTAATCACAGAACATTAATGAAGTACACAAATGAGGCATTGTCTACTGAAATATACACTCATTTCATATATTTCATATACTGTATATTCCAACGCATTCTCATCCCAAAGCACCATATACGACGCTTTTGCAAAAGCGTAAATATCCAACGCACATGGCACCCTTTAACGTGAAATGAGACGCAGATATATTTGGGCAGAAGGCGCCCCCTAGTGGTCTAACCCTTACCCTACACCATACCTAAACTTAACCATAACCGAAGCGTCTCATTAGACGTTAAAGGGTGCCATGTGCGTTGGATATTTACGCTTTTGCAAAAGCGTCCTATATGGCGCTTTGGGATGAGAACGGGCTCTATATTCAGTATATATATATATCAGAAATCTGAACATTGCATAAAGCAGGATAAAAGTTCTTGTTCTCTGATTGTGTTGACACATTAGAGTTATAGGTTTCTACAGAAGGGGGATTGGATATCTTCCTTTTTTCACTGAATAAGGAAAAAAAATTATGAATATAATCAGTTGAATGAAATATGAAGAAACTGTTGGTGTGTGTACAATAAGTGCTGCTGAAGTGGAGGAAAAAATGCATATTGTGTTTGAAATCTACAGATGGGAATTGATCAAAAACAATAAAATAAACACTTAAATGTGTACTTTGATTTTTTTTTTTTTAACGAAGACGTAATACGAAAGCAAATTAGATCCAAATCTCAAAATTGTCCATTCCTCAGACTCTGTATCAGTAATATCAATAATATCAACTCTGTCCTATAGTAGGTGATATATAAAGTTATATGATCAAATCTCTGTAGTTTTAAAACACATAATGCAATGCAACACAATGGAGATTTAAAGAAGAAGGCCTGATGGGTTATATTTGATTCACCTGAACACAAACAGATAAATGATGTCCAGCGTGAACATTCCTCATGTGTGGCAGTCACTCGTCTCAGCCGCTGAACGGCGTCCTGAGACAGAGGTCAAGACAAGGTGCTGCATTAAGTATTAATGGGGTGTGTGTGTGTGTAGCGGGGCAGAGGTTCAGCACAGGGACTCGACACACACACACACACACACTCTATCAGCTCGTGTTCAGCCCCGCGGGGTTAGAGGACACTGGCTGTGATGGGAATCTTCTACTGGCCGGTGGATCCTCCATCTAATTGCACAGTTATTGACATCCCTGACCAGGACACTGACCCGAGGTCAGGAGATGGGCGAGTTGAGAGCTTTATCTGTGTCATTGCTCAGCTCTACAGACAGCCAAGGATCATTTTTCATCTTTTTTTCTTTTTTAGTGTAAATATAGCCCACTGTATCATATTTGATACACACATTTATTAAGGCCTCTAAATGAGCAACATAATCAAAGCTTTGCTGAAAAACGTCACACTTACACACCTTCCGTCTAATTGGTCATTTTCAAGCAAGTAAAATACCTTTTAGTAAAAAATGCTGGGTTGTTTCAACCCAAATTTGGGTCAAATATGGACAAACCCAAATGTTGGGTTAAAAATGTAATTTAAAAAAAAATGTACAGTTGAAAGTGAAAGTTGAAGTTGGGTTCAAATTTTAAATTACATTTTAACCCAGCATTTGGGTTAGTCCATATTTGACCCAAATTTGGGTTGAAACAACCCAGCAGTGTTTAGAGCGTACTTGAAAAAAATGTCCACCTTAACCCTTTCATGCATGAATTATGATAACCTCAGTCAGAATTTTTTTCCTTTGGGTTTTTATTGCCCTTAGGGCATGAAAAACAAGATTTGATTTGATTTTTTTTTTTAAACAAATTTTTCAAAGAGATTTTCAGATGTCCACTTGAGTGGACAGCATGCATTTATAGTTTAAACTGAAGAGATACTGTATTAAACATAATACAATAATCAAACAGATAAATTATGTGTATTTAACAAACTAAACAATACAATTACATCAAATCATGTGAAAACTATAAAATATATGAAAAAATATATATAAATCCGAAATATTGCAAAGGCAATTGACCTGCATACAAGTTGCACTTCGTGTATCTTGGATATCAGAACATGATGATGTGATTCCATCAGAAATGTCTACAGCCTGTCAATGTGCAATTGTGGAAACACTCAGATGCTCCCTCCAGTGTGCCAGAGTATGTCAATTTACCCTTATTAGCTGATAATTCTGATTATGTTAGAGATGGACACATTTCTAGCATAGCTCCTCTTCTGAGAAAACCTAGTGATACATTTTTTTTAAATCTCATCTGAAATGAGCAGTGTTGGGCCAGGCATAACGCATTCAGATTATTTGGTTGATGTTACAAGTAAAGTAATGTGTTAGAAGTAACATGCATTACAAAATCAGATTTGTTTTAATGTTTCGAGTAAAGTAATGTATTACAAGTAACATGCATTACCTACTCAGATTACTTTTTGATCTAACAATTAATTACAAGTAATGTGCATTACGTAATCAGATTACATTTTGTTGTTATGAATAAAGAAACGCATTACAAGTAACATGCATTACATGATCAGATTACTTTTTGATCTAACAATGCATTACAAGTAACATGCATTACATAATCAGATTAATTTTGATCTAACAAGTAATGCATTACAAGTAACATGCATTGTGTAATCAGATTACTTTTTGATGTTACGAGTAAAGAAACATAGGTAAACAGATATTTTTTGATCTAAGAAGTAATGCATTATGTAATTAGATTACTTTTTGATGAAATGAGTAAAGTAATGCATTACAAGTCACAAATTATGTAATTACATAACTTTTTTAGACGTCAATGAAAATTACATTCTAATAATACAACTACATTTATTTACAGTCAAAAAAAGTTACTGCAGATTAAGTATTTTCAAAAACAATATTCACAGTATAAGTATAAATTGTAGCTAAAATATAGCCATTGATGCATGAGGTCCACTATAGTGGACAGGTGATTTATCAGATTTTTCTCCCAATCTAAAATCAAAACTTGGAAAATTTTACTGTGATATGACTCATTAGATACTGCTTGATGCTGCAATATTGTTTTTACCTACAAGAGTGTCCTAGGATAGAAGGAATGGGTGGATATTCCGGAGCACCATGGCATGTCTGACTGGCCATTGGCCATCTTGGTTTTGAGGGGGAAAAAAATCAAAACTCAATGGCTTATAACTTTGTTGCAATGCACCAGGGTCCACTGAAGAGATTGATGTGCAACTTTCCCATCAAAACCCTTGCAAATTCAAGAAAATGCTTTTTAAAAAGCTGTCCACTGTAGTGACCACAATGCATGAAAGGGTTAAGCTCACAGTTCACATGTTTTTGCTGTGAAATATTATATTTCAAGATGAACACTAACTGGACTGAAGTTTACGGGGTTTTTTTTCGAAAAAAACATGTTCAGATATGAGTATCAAATATGATCGCAAGGCTTTGGAGGAAGGTTTATATGTTCATCTCGCAATCATATCATTATATGTTTTGAAAGAGCTTTGAAAATAAACTAAATATTTAAATATTATCTCGCTAAGACCTTTAACAGGCATATATATATATATAGCGACGACTGATATTTATATGCATTTTATGTATAGTACGTATTCTATTATCTGTTATAAAGATCTCATTGATTTACATTACACGCTATCAGAATTTAATCATACTTTTTGTTCATATAAATATCACAAAAATATGCAATTTGATGCAGATGTTGATATTTTTCCTTCTGAGCTCCATATTCTCAATATATCTAAATACTAAATATACTAAATGAGCCATAAAATAATGATACTCAACAACAAATGCAAATATTTTATTTTAAATGTCCAATAAAAACAAATAAATAAATATAATTTAAAAAAAATCAGCCTATTATATATGTCAGGGATGACCGGGTTTATTTATCAGACTTCTCAATGCTAGTGAAAAGTACTTTTCAAAACTGGAAAGTCACTCATTATGTTTCTCAGTTCAAAGGAAAACCTGAAGAGAGATGCACACGTTATTGCTCCATAAATCAATTGTGTGCTGTGTAATTGTGTCGAGATATTTCTCTGTGAAGTTTATAGCGCTGAAGTTCAGAGTTCTGAGGTGGAACGGAGATTACGGTCAATACTAACAGCAACCGAGGAGAGCGTCTCATTTTGAGCCCTATATTCCCATTTTGTGTTATTTCTGGCACACAAAAACTTTGTAAAAAGAAAGTAATCATATGCTTCACGAAACATCAGCTCCTTTGTTTCAGTATTTCAATAATGCCCATTTTCATCTCCAAAAATATCCCTACCATTGACTTATAAAAAGTAATGAGCAATTTATAATCACAGCATTTATTAGCCTTTGTTAATGTTACTTGATAAAAATATGTTCATATTAGTTCAGAGTGTACTAATTATTGGTAACAGAAACAACTTTTGATTTTAAAGAGTCCGTATTATGCTTTTTTGAATTTACTTTGAGTAGACCAATCACATAAGACCAGGTCATCTGACTAATTAGAGCAGAGTAGACCAATCACATCAGACTGAGACATCTGACCAATCAGAGCAGAGTAGACCAATCACAACAGACTGGGCCATCTGACTAATCAGAGCAGAGTAGACCAATCACAACAGACTGGGCCATCTGACCAATCAGAGCTGAGTAGACCAATCACATCAGACTGGGCCATCTGACCAATCAGAGCAAAGTAGACCAATCACAGGCTGAGCCATCTGACCAATCAGAGCAGAGTAGACCAATC